CTGGATTTCTCCGAAGTGACGGTTGTCTATGGTTTGGTTTTGTATTCGCGTTAGCTGGGTTCGTAAAAGAAGAGACCGCGCGAGTAACATCTCGGGTGACCTTAGGAACCTTCTCTGCAAACGTGACTGATGTCCCGGTGAAAGTCAGCTAGACCAGCGGACTTTGAGCTGCAGATGTATAGAGCTGATATCCAGCTTCCACATCCTTGTTACTGATAGATGTTGTTGAGATCGGAGGAACGTGATCAATCACACATTTCGGTTGGCGCATGATTTTCGTTAGCGGGAATACTAATTACTGAAACTAGAGAGTTGATATACGTAGTTCCGGGCTTCTCCATCGTACTTACTTTGGGCTCGTGCGCAAAATCAGGCCGCTGATTTCTGCGCGTTTGCAGCAGATTATGACTGCAATAAATGCTATTCGTTGCGATGTGCTCTCTGAATATGTAATCCAAAAGTAGGCGCCTATAAATTTCCTAAATTCTAACACTGATTTCGCCCCGACTACTTTCTCGGAGATACCGTTGCAGTACTTCATCACACGACTGTCGAAGCATAGAGGGCAAGTTATCCGCTTTAGCTCCCGTGCCACTAACTTGTACCGGGAACCGCGAGTGCAGCGTGGTGCACGCACGTAAGGCAGCGGCCTGAACATAAGAAAGGTATCGAGATGCAATATCCAGTGCCTCATAAGGATTTCAAGTCGTTGTCTGCGTCGGCCTTCTTACGACATACCTGCACAATTGGCGAGGAGCCTGGTTGCCAAAGCGGGCAAACGTTCGAAACTGGAAGTTAGAGGCTGTCCGTCAGAGCCCTCTAACAGTGCTATGTCACCTGCAGATACCAGGCACCGATTCACGTAAACAAAACTTCGTTTGAAGGCCGTCTTTTATGCAGTTACAAGCTAATCTTCGGACTGCCTACGCTGCTATGCTTTGACGCTGTTGCATAGCTTCCATCGCATTTTGTACACCTTGTAGTCGTCATCAGAGCCATACGGGAAGAATTTATTCCACCATACGCCTCGCCGTCAAGCCAACTAGTTATACTCTTTGTCGAACCAATATAACTTCACTGGCGCAGCTTTCCGATGCTTAAGTGGTACAAATCGAGCGTACAGCGAGTTCACACGCTCCTTGTATAACAGAGCAACAAGCTGCGGCAGTGACCAGTCCACTTTATTGGTGGCTTGATCGAGACCATAGAAGTCATTCTTCCAGTGATTGCAGTATAACTCCAGCGGACGCGAGTTTGGCAGCGGAAGCTCGAGACTGGTTATGGTCTTCGAATGCTCGCTCGCATCTATTGGCGATAGGACCGAAAGCTCGCGCACATACTGTGCGCACCTAGTCAACATCAGGTTCAGGCACGACGGATATGAACGCGGTGTAATGCTCGTAGGCTGGCTGAAAGTTTGGGCTGCCCCAGTTTTGAACATTACAGCCAACTCCGCCTCGACTTTAAAATGCGCGGGCAGAAGTTGAACATCGGGCCAGCGCATTCGACGGAAGTTAAAATCCCCCATGAGCAAGAAGCAGGGCCAACTCAGATGGTTTCGGAGATGTGGCAACCAGTCCAAACAGCAACTTCGCTGTCTGCAATAAACCGCACACACGAACAGTACTCCACTTCTCAGGTAGATTGGACACGACCTTTGCTCGCATAGGCCATCCTTACTTCAGTACGTACTTATCAGCCTCCCGCATTACCAGGGTCGCATGTATAGCAGCCCACCACTGTGGTCATTTGATATTCTATTTCACAGTAAGAACAAGTGGCCATTGATCAAGACTTTCTGGCAGGTTATCTCAGGATTCAACTAGGGCACAGCCAGTCCTAGTACCTACAGCCGACAAGACGCAACGAAGTCCCACAGATCATCAAGTTTTCTCACTCAACTGCAAAACTTTAGTGAAGACTACTCGCAGTCCACGTTAGTTACCGCTGACCGAGCATGGGGCGTCATCGACCTGTTAATCTTGATTCGGCGAATGCGGAGAACTAACCGGAAACAAACAATGCAGAAATTAGTTTCTCTACAATCAGTACGTTGCTTCGGCTCGCGACAGCCGACTTGATTTTCTCACGGACTGACGGATCCATATCTTGGCAAATATGGGTCTTTAGACCACTTGGCTTACAGAGGCCGGATAGTATCAGCTTTGCGTTAGCTTCATCAACGAAAGTGACTCACAGAGACCGACGCTTCTCCTCACTTCTCTTTCCAATACGGGTGATTTGTTTCACCCTTAACTTCTGTCCACTAGTGTCGAGGAGTTTGTCGAGCAAACACCTCAGAAACTTGATGTCAAAGTTATACCGAGTCCGTGCATTTGCATCGCTTGACTCAGGCGCATGAAACGTCATGAGGTTGCAACGTCGCTGGTTTTTGGAAATTGCCCCCTCGTTCTCGCTCCCGTGTATTTTGTAACTGGCCTACCTCGCTTTGGCTATCGCACAGTGGAAAGTTATTGTTCCTAGTACGCAACCCAGACATGCTAGCTGAGCCACCAGTAACCGATGGACTTCGTTCCGGAAAGCTAGCAGTCGGTGGGCAGATGGATTCTTTCGAACAGGAACGTGGCTAGGTTATCGAATGTTGAGGTGAACCCACAAAGCTTTTTGCTACGGAACGTTTCGCCCTTCTTGCTGGCTTGCGAGGTCTCTTGACTTTTGCTGATGACAATGCACTCCGTCACTTCTCACACACTATTTGAACAAAGTTATGCTGAATCGCACGCAATGATTTATTCTTCAATGCACAAAGCCACGCAAGTGCTATGCAAATACAAATGGCAAACCATGCATGTGAAAGCATTAGGTAGCTGTCCAAGGATTTTTTAACCACTGCCACAGGGAGAATGCTTCGTTATTCCGGACGGCTTAGCCGATATGACGGCAAAAACGTGAGTCAGTGGAACGACAAGAGCACAACTAAAAAACAATAAACTATGTGGAGCAGACACCAGTAGACAATTAACAAATTCTGCATGATAAAAGCGATTAAAATGGCTAACAATAAATACCCAGATATTGCAACGCACTGGGTAATAAACGCAGCAAACTGGACTGGCAGCAGAAAGAGTGCGGAGCACTTGACCACCAGAGTCAAGTGATATTTTTGCCTGAGATTGTGGCAGACATGTAAGAGAGAAGTATGACGAGGATCTTGTCGATCGTAAATCAGGGGAAGCAAATTATGCACCATTTCTTTGTTTAGAACCTATTATACCTTCCTGGCGCATGCTCACTTCTGACTAAATAATGTTAGTGCACATTTGCTGTCCAGCTTTTGCTGCTACTTGGTCGCACTTCTGGACTAGGAATAAACATTCATTTGACGGACTAGATGAAGGAACCCGCAGTGTAAATCCCAATTAATCTGCTGGGCTATTCGGCCCCCACACCCTTCGGTGGGAAAAGTTAGTTGATCTGGGATGGAACCATTTAGAGAGGGCTAGCAGGCGAACCCTATTTTGACTAATCTATTACGTTCGCCGACCGAAAAGCACCCTTCGCTTAGAGCCTTTTAGAATTCGCACCTACTAGCATTCTGCTACTCAGCATGATGTCGTCACCTTACTCAGCGAGGTTACTGGTGTTCTGAAGTTTCCGTCCCTTGCTCACATCGGTCAGACTGGCAGTGTAGTTGGATACGTCACGGCAGCACGGACCATCGGTCAATGTGGCCGCGCGTGTCGCTGTGATGATGTAGCAAGAGAAACGTTTGAGGAGTTCACAAGGAGTGCTGAACGATTTTACGTTAGCAATCAATTCCGATTGAATGCTGAGCAAGTAGCAACGTAATGCAAAACGACTGGTATTCACTGCAAACTTTATAGGTGAAGCACAAATTCTACTTGGCTGGATCGCATCAAGAAAGCTCATCCAAATACGAGTATAAAATCGAAGAATGGTCTAACAACTGAGTTTACTTCACTCGCCTGTTTCAGCAACAAATCCATCTCAGAAGCAGTAGGGGTCAGAATTTGAGAGGGTGCGAATAGTTCAAAGCTAAGTGTCCAGCGTGTAGAGCTGCTAAATCAGAGTCGAATGAATGCAACGTCAGTAATATGCAGCAAAGTGTTAAGGAATTGCCTGCAAAAGCAGAGCACTGGAACCGTACGAAGGCACGAGTAGTGCGATTGTATAATGGCCGAATTACGACAATCGTTGTATCCATTTTTTCGGTAGTACTTTTCAGAAGTAATAACGTGGTGTCAGCCACTAAGTACATCAATTCAATGCTTGTGCTTAGAACAATCAAATCATTTATTTGACGTCATATTAGTGAATCCCAAGGAGTACAATTTAAGCCACCATGTGGTTGACCTTACTTTCCGAATTCTTTCTAGGTCGGGCCAGGGTTAAAACGTTAGTTATTGCAATACGTGCCTAGTTAGCTACAAAACTACGTGGAACGGCTGTGGTTCAGTCTGTACACGAAGGTGGGCGAGCATAATGCGCAGGTCAGTCTTTCAAGATAGGCTGTGGTACATACTATTACCATGGAGGATACAAAATAGTAACTATTTGATGAAAAATTACAGTCTCTCTACAGGTTTTGCAACTTGCAAGATTTGTAACGTTTTTAACTGGGGGAACATGTTAATATTACAGGATAATCCATGCGCATTAGTTGTATTCAATAGCACTTGAGTCAGAATTTATTACAATGTCAACGCGAATAATTTTCCTGCCGCTTATGCATGTCAAATTGCAGGTAGCACTTGAAAGCATTTTAATACTTCCCAGTATGAGGAATAATCGTACTAAGCATCGTTGCAGTTGCCCAAAAACTCTTAGCATCTGTTACCCAATGAAACGAGACTGGACTATCTCATCAGAGCGTTAGGTACCCTGGCGAGGAAGTGGAAACGTATTTTGCAACATATTGAGTTATGTTACGCACATGTAAAACTTTGAATACTTCTACAATTGTGATCCTTGTTTGTTGTTTTTCCTTCTCTCCAACAAATCCGCACTTAAAATCACAGATTCGGGGTCAATATGAAGCGTCTATACCTTATCATCGGCAGCGGTTGTGAGTGCGGACAAGGGCTACTCATATTTCTGGTAGATGACGCCTTTAACATTCACAACAAGCTGATCCTATTGACCCGTCATGAAACTTGCAGTTCGCAGTTGTCTAGACGAGTTATTCAAACCGAACCACTTCCGACATGTTCACTGCAAGAAGAAAGCATGTTCGTCAATACGTTTAAATCCAGCAGCTACTGGTTCCCCCAAGATTCAGTTTACCCTTTCAGATTGACTAGCCCTTTGTCGATAGACAAAGCGGTAATGGTCATGGAAGCAGAAAGACCCGTCGACGCCAAATCAAGCACACAAGACTTACCTGAAACCGAGGAGGTTCGTGAGGTTGGTACTCAAGTAGAACCATCAAATGACTCGCTCGAAAAAGCCGGAGAAACGTACTGCGAAAATTCATGTGACTCGGAATTGGAGAGCATTTTCGAAACTGTCACCGCTTCAGCCGTTGTACAATGTGGTGAGAGTATGTTATCAAGGAGCATCTATAACAGTACAGCTGCAGAACAAGACACAGTTAGCGAAGTGGATAGGTCATCTGGACAACCATTATACGCTAATACAGAGCAATTGGCCAATGCAGCTTTCTGTAGTAGTGATCCCTCAGAAACTGCCACGCAAAGAAATGGAAGAACAAAAAATAGAAACGTGGTTAGGTAAGTGTAACATCCTTTTAGTAACATGAGTAATCTATGAAACTCAGCTTGCTTGCTTTCTAATAATGCACCTATTTACACGTTGTTTACCCTTAGCATTAACAGGGTAGAAAATTAGCTCAGGTCTACGACGTTAAAACAAAGAAGACGAAGGTTTGAACAATGAACAAGTTAGGATGCACTGATTAGGAAGCACTGCTTTACAAGCCCTGTTGAGTGGTCAGGTGGGTTATCGAAAAACGTTAATGAAAAAATGGCGTCAGTAATTTTAGTGTAGAGAGAATGGACTTATCGTATTTAGTGCAGTAGCCACGCACTCCGAGTACTTTCATAGCTTAAGTAGGCGAAAAATAATATAGTTATTTCACACGCGTAGGGTGGAGAGTAGCGTCATGTAACAAAGTGTAAATGGCGGAGTGCGTCATCCAACCAAGTCTTAAAATTTGTTAGTGTAGGCGCAAGAAAAACCGAGTCCGGGAGAGCCTTCCATGGTTGACACGCGCGAGAGAAAATAAAAACCTAAGGCATTGCGGAAGGCTGTACTGTTCTGCCAATTTCAAGGAGTGACTTCTAAATTAGATGTTGCTGCTGGGTTGAAGTAAAGGCAGCACGCATGATTTGGATTGTGCAGAATCAAATATGCCATTATCTAGTCGCTTCGTACTCGGCGATACGGCTTGCTGAATGCTCCCAAAGCTGTGTGACTTAATTCATATGGTAGGTTGGGCATTCCAAAGACGCATTTGAAAAGTGCGCCGTGAGGTCGGTCCAGTGTAGTGAAGTCACGCTTCAGCCATGTGTACCAGGCTTGAACTGTACATTCGACATGCGGACGAACATACACATTGAGCAACTCTCTGAAAATAGAGGTGTCTTTTGTCCGAAGGCTCGTCGTAATCCGCCGACATGTTGGTTACCAGTTTTCGATACCTTTTTGGATTGACCGGAACAACATAATTTCTCCTGAACTAGCACGCCAAAGTCGCGTTCGACGGATAATCGCTGCAGTACTTGCGTTCCTAGCCCATAAGAATCGGTATCCTGATGTCGTATGGAGAGTACCTAGTAAATGCTTACATTGCACCGTAGCAGATTTTGAGTTGAGCACTGGTGTGCCATATCTAGATCACACTGAAGCAAATTCTGATCAGGATGCGCCCAAATCCTGCGCCATATCTTGCTGTCGTTAGAAAATGGTAGGAAACCTGAAGTGATTGCCGGTACGAAATGATTAATGAATACCAAAACCTACATGGTCATAGAACCGAGTCATGATGCATACCAAACTCGACTGGTATGGGATTAGGTAAGGAACTCAGCAATCTGACCAATAATTCTCGTTTCAGAAGAAAGTTGGCGATTCTACTCAAGAAAGGGTCACCGATCCCGTCATATTGGAGCTTGGAAAGGACAGTCCGATGGTCTAAACGATCGAATGCCTTCGACAAGTCTAAGTAGACCAAACGAGCGTCAGATGACTCGGCCCAACTACCCCGGGTGATGAGTAAAGTCGTTGTGCCTGATGGTTGTCAACGAAATCTGTGTTTCAATATCTGGGAATATGTTTCTGAAATTCGGAAATCCGTGTTTCTCGGGAACAACAATGTTACAATTTTCTAGTTAACACACCAACACATCGGCAAAAATGGATTCCATTAACATGGATAACACAGAGAATAGATAAGGGACAGTAGTTCGAGGACACAGTCATGCTTCCGCCTTTGTGAATCTGAGTTATTGCTCCAAGCTCTCAAATTGCAGGAACCTGGTTCTTGTCTAAGGAGCGCTTAAACAACAGGGCCAATGGCTTTACCAGTTATTCCACTGCCACTCCCAATGTCTTTAAGCGAATTGTGTTGATTCCCGGAGAGCTGTGGCTGCCCAGAGACGTCAAGTAATGCAAAACAGCTTCACCAGTAAATGAGATGTAGTTGAGTCCTGAAGGCGGTAAGACAAAGGCTATATGATGGCTTGATGATAAAACCCTCTGAGACGTGCGTGCATGTTGCCTCCGCAACGAATCTGGTACTTCTGTAGCCATTCTACTTAACCCATCAGCCATCGAAAGTGCACCAATTCCCTGCCTCACCTTACGACGTTCATTGACATACTTGTGGTGACATACTTGTGGTTAGCGCTGAAACTTTTCGCCATGTGCTGCTGGTATACGGTTTGTCAGTACGGGCAGCTGAGTGCATTAGATGCGCATGGTCACGTAGTTGTCCCAGTTATCTGGCGTTGGTGAGAATCCATACTCTTACCAGTCTACATTACACACAGTCCTCCATTTTTGAGTTTCCTTGCTTAGGAAAGAAATGGTTTTAGGCCCATTGCAGACCCTTGTCACTGAGGCATTTGTAACCAATTGATTGAATTTGCTGACGAATTCGAGCCAAGCGGGACCACATGTCTAAAGCGATCCAAACCAGTCTTGTGCCTCAAGTGTAGAAATATTAACACCTTCGTAAATTTCCATGGTACATACGGATTTAGTTGCATAAATAACAGTCGGACAGTAACGAAAGTCTTATTCGCACCGGTGGGTCTGGCTTAGGCAGCAAACAGTGTTCGGTAAATTTCCATGCATGGATGTCGGATTTCTACTGAAGCCGTGGATGCGCATACAATATAGGTACTTATGAGATAGTGCGGTTCCCCAAAAGCAGCCATTGAGGCTACCTGATCCCAAACGGCAAGAATTATAACTGTAAGTTGTGCAATGTATGGTTCCACACATTCAGAGTTGTAATGTTTTCTTTCAACTGACCATGGTAGCTTTTCCGAATGCAACGGTCCTAGGAACAGTTGCACTAATCTGTTAGCAGCAATGACTCCATCGACCATGCGTTCAACAAACAAAATCCGGGATACTTCGCATTGGAAGCATAGGACTGAGTTAGATGTTACCTGGTGTACTCAAAAGCAGCCAGTTTTTAGTCATCTAGGAACAAAAAGGAATATCAGATAACTGGTAGAATGGTAGCTCACAGTTCTCACTGCCACACACCATATCATGTCTAACGCCATACCCATATCCCAACCTTTAACTACAGGGCCGAGAATCGTTTGAAGTTTTGCCTTAAAAGCAACATCTTGATCAAAAACACGTCTTAGGATTTACCTGCCTTCAATACATCACACACCACCGGCTTCAGTGCTTACTTGTAACATCAGGTGGAGCTAACAGAATGAGGACTCGAAATCTTGGAGTGGAGACTATGTGCTGGAATCTTTACTCCAAACCCACTAGACCGCAGAAAACGCAAGCACCGAGCTATCAAAAAACGGATGCATTAGAATGTACACACAAGTGACCCCTATGTTCCACTTATTATCCTCAATTTGGTTAATGTACACATTGTCCTTAAGTTAGCTAAAAATCTGTGCATATAAGGAAGTCTGTTTTGGTATCTGGGATACGGTAAATAATGCATGATAATAAGGAACTTCTATAGTAGTTGCGCTAAGAACCAGTACCTAATTCAAGTTCCCTTAACTACAGTGGCTTGTAGGTGAACGGTATACGTATGGCTTCGGTGGTAAGAAATTGAAATGTAGCCCGCACGAAATTCAGGATCCCAATTCCTTATTTCCAGTACGTTATAACTGCGGCTCAGAATAAACATAACGCACGAAAGTTAACCTCAAAAGCAATTACGCAGAAGGTCTTGGAATATATACGACATCAACCTTGACATGATGCACTAGAGATCCGATTTTCACTTCCGAAATTTCAACTATACCGACTTTCACAGTAGTACCATCAATCCGGCGATGACATTCCAAAAGCAAACAGCCCGCATAATTAATGTTGACCACACCGGTATAGAGAAACCACGAGTAGGAAGACTGGCGGTGCATTCACGAAACGAGTTCTTTGAACAACAAACGCGCGATCGCTCCAAAGGCTACATCGCTCGGCAAATCATAGAGAGTGAGGCCCACGCATATTAAAACTAATGTCGTAATCAGAGTAAATAGTAACGTATTGGTTAGAACGATGACAGAAAAGTCAGCAAAGCTAAACTGAAAGATCACAAGTTTCCAAGCTATGTGAGATCATCGGTGTCACTGAGACATGGTTACTCGCTGGAATGAAGGACGCTGAAGTCCCCCTGCCGTGTACATCGCTCATCCGAGAACAGAGACTATCAAAATGAAGTGGAGTAATTATGTATTAACGGAGCAACCTACAGTGCTAGGTCATGGAGGATTCGGATCCGCAGTTCCCCGATTCTCTTTGGTGTCGCATGCACTATAAATGCAGCGATAGCTACATCATAACCTTGGTGTACCGCACTCCAAACTGTGTACCCGAAAGGTACAGCCCCCATGCGACTGCTCTAAGACGTGCCCGAAAAAGAAAATGCACCTACATATTTATCATGGGTGATTTCGACGTGTGCTGTTAGAAACCCCTGCCAAGATCGGAGAAAAATGCATAACTGTTCTGCAAGAGCTGGGTATTATTGTTCCTCTTTACAATCGCGTTATATTGCCCGCTCGTTACAGAACAATGGAATAATGGAACAATGGCTTTATACGGATAAAAGAACTAACGCCTAACAGTGCCCGTATAGTGGTTATGGTGAAACCACAACATATATAAATTGGTAACAAAGTAGGGTTTACACAGTGAGCTCACTGAAGCATACGTAGTGTAGTCTGTCAATCCAAGGTAAATCCATAAGAAATGACGGTAAGTGGAAGGTTGGTACAAATTGTCTCTCCTGCTGGTGTACACACAGAGGTGAGAAATTTACAACGAAATCTGTGCTTTGACCGCTGTGAAATCGCTTACAGACACCAGTGTTTTTCAATGGTTATTGGGTCATGGAAGACGGTGCAGCAAATTAAGTGCACGGTCTACTCGAGCTTTGAACTCTCCCAGCGTGGGAGCACATCTAACAGATTCCGGTAGGGCATTCCACGTTCTGCAAACGCGTACGAATAAGAAATGCCGACAGCATTCCAAGCGACTGTGCTGCTCTACTAGGTTG